GGCGCTGCCTCCGCGGAGTCCGCTGCCCGCGGTGCGTTGTCAGCCCCGGGCGGCACCGGCAATCCGCTCCCGGCCTCCCTGTGCCCTGACTTCGCCGTTAACCGTGGCACCAGACAACTCTGCAAACGCGTCCTTCCTGGTTTTATGCACATATATATGTGTTCTTACGTACTTGTATATATACACACATATAGGCGTGTGTGTGTATGCATATACGTGTAAGTGCATCCGTTTAGATTAGTCTGCGTTTTTTCCGGTGGCTTAATGGGGGAGGTAAATCTCACCCACAGATCTGCTGTTATCGTGGTGACTTCCTTTTCTTTCTTTCTTTTTTTTTCCCCCTTAAACCCTGCTCTCTCCTCCCCATCTTTTAATCTTATCTCTCATCTTCTTGTCCTCCTCTAGTCAGTGTGTATCTGTTGCTCATAATGCCAGTGCTGGGATATTATAGTTTAATTTCACTCCGATAAACCTGCTTTTGTCTCAGTTTGCAATGTGAGGTTCAAACCCTCTGCCCTCCACCTCTGCATCCTTGTACCTAGTGGTCTTTCTCATAGTGCATTTCATCGCTTTGTTCATGTGTCCAGATAATTTGGATCAGATGTGTTTAATCTTCATCCTATATGTTTGTATTAGATTATTTTGCATTTTACTGTGTGAAAAGGTGAGCGTTATTAACAATATGCATAACAGAAAGCTTTTCATCTCCTGACTTCAGTATTGCTTGTGGCTAATGAACTACTTTGGGGAAAAGTTATTTGTGTATAACGTTTTGAATCCCCAACAAACGCTGCAGAAGGTAAAGGCCAGATCTATGACTGTGATAGCTACTCCTTAGGAATGAGGCCACTTATGTGGAAAAAAATCCTAGAGTCTTGCCTGCTGATGCTGTTGGTTATCTTTGATATTGCACACCGATTGCTAATTGCTGCCAGTCTCATGACAACCAGAACTACAAGTTATTGATCTGAGTTGTAAATTGCAATGCTTAATTTTGTCATTAAGCTGTTTATTTTCTAGAGCCAGAAACTTCAGTAGAGTTGAAAAGTATTTCTTCCTTAGAATGGGATGACTTTCTGTGGACCCAGGTGGTTCCTCCTTGTTCCTGTTTGCACCTTCTGAGCTGCAGAAAAGGGCCTCAGGAGGCCTCAGGCCTTGCTCAGGTGTTTGGGTCCTGATGGTTGGTGCCACTGTGCTGATGGGAAACATTGCCTGGAGTAGGCTGTTGCCCCACAACAGGAGAGTACTGTCGGCAGAGGCCCCAGCAGAGACGCGGCTTTATTGGTGAGAGGACGTAACTCAGTTTGGGGAAGGCATCTAAGTTAGCCAAGCAGAAGTGATTCTGTTAGCGTAAGCCGCGTTTTCGCTAAGGATTTGCTCTTTATAACTAAACAAGCAAATCCCTTTCCTAGGGTAGAAAAGGCCTCAGAAGGTCCTTGGATTAAACCTTGTCTAGGCTGTGACATGAGTTACTTAGGTAGTGGTTATTTGCTGTAGAGGTACCCGCAGAATTGCTAGGTGGGAGATTTTAAATGTCTTTTTCCTTTCCGCTTAAAAGTTTTTCTTTTGATATGTAAAACATATTTCTAAATGTTTATATGTAAGCATGTTTAAGTAGATATATATTGTAAAGTGTAGATGCTAATCAGGGTAGCAAATACCTCTCCAAAGAGAAGCTTTATTGCTAGTTACCTACTAGTGCTATTCAACGTCAATATTTATTTCTTACCTTAAATGATTTTTTTTAATGAAAGAAATTAGTCAGATTATTCTGAATCATTCTTGGACACACTGAGCGTCTTTGACTTCAGCTGAACTTTCGCTAAGTTTAGGTTGCTTATGTGCCTTTCTAAAACACATTGAGATTGTATCACAGCTTAAAAATCTTGTGCTTTGTAAGATACATCTTTTTTTAATGTAATACCTTGTATTTATTGTTTTTGGTGATGGGAAACCACAAAGAGATTAAATTTATTCTCTATCCTATTGAAAATAGTGAAAAACACCTATTATTGCATATAAATTCCATGCAGCTGACAAAATGTGAATGTAACTTGGAGACCATGGATGAATGTTGTTACTTTTAATTCGTTGAAGGACTCTAAAGCATTATCTTTTTTTAATATATCTCAGGGAAGGGGGGAATGGTAGAGTCTGAGCAATTTATATTCCTTTGCATCAGCCATGCCAGTGTTAATCACATTATGAACATGAGTAGTTACTGCTCAGTGAAATAGAGCTCTTCACCTCTGAGAAGTACTGCATACTGTCCCTGAAGAACTGCACAGCATCTTAAGGATAGGTTCTGTTACAACAGCCCTTTTCCAGAGAAGGGAGAACTAACAACATATTGAAGCATCTTTCTGGGATTTTTAAAAGGAAAGATACACCAGAGTGATTCACCACAACATCTCATATGTCAACAGAATAGGCTCTGTATTGTGCAGTAACTAATACACAGATTAAACGACTGATGGAGTGTTTTAGGGGCTTTTAAAAATTTCATTGGTGATCATATGATAGAAAATGAAAATCATTATTAGCGATGGAGGATTATATGTTTAGTTAGCTGTCTCCGTCCTCTGGATTTTGTGTGTTGGAGAAGTTCTGCTCTTTTTCTCTGTATTAGAAACATGAAAAGTTCATGTTTATATGTGCCTAGTTGAAAGGTATTTTGAAAACTGAGGTCACATGATAAGGATGTCAACTCATACAGCTCTTTTCCTTCTCTCCTCTGGCCATTGCCTTCTTATGTTGTTGAGAGATTCAAGTGTCTATTAAAGAGAAAATGCTGGCTTTAAATAGTGTTTCTTATGAGATAATTGTTTCATATTTGTTTTGTTTTTAAGGTGGTTAGCCTGTTCCTTGTAAACTCTTGGTGTGCAGTTTCACAGTACGTTTAATCTGCTCCAACAGGCAGCAATTGAAAGGGTCTCATTGATCTGACAGAAAACTAGTTGTTCTTCCACTGGGTTAGTTTTCTGTCAGATCGGGTTCCCTGTCTGACTGGCTGCATGGCTGCATGATTGATAACATCTGATGCAAGGGAGAGGCTGTTCCTATTAATGCCTCCATAAGAATCTTTCTTGGAGTAGGAAGACACCGTTCTGCTCCCTGCCTGCAAATGTGTAGGGTAGAGAGTTAGAGGAGGAGATTCTTGCATTAGTTCAGATTGATATAGGCTGTCCATAAACCTGCACGTTGGGAAGTTAAAAAGGCATTCCTATTAGAACAGTGAGATCCAAAGCCACTTAACAGTACGAGTTGTAATAAGAAATGTAATTGCTGTTAAGAGAGAATGAGATCTAATTCTGTGAAGACTGGGATATCTGTTCATATGATTTTGGTGCATTAAGTTAAATTGTGCAGGGGATTTTAATATCTTTATTGATTATTTTTTCCAGCTGGATATGAAATAAAAGCAATGCTATAATAAAAGCAATACTGTAAGAGGATGTTTTTTTCAGTTTGGGTTTATTATTGAGTATTCTGAATAAGATACATTAATTCAGATAAATCTGTTTCAATTAACTTACGTGTGAGGCTATTTTTTCTCCTCAGAAGAAATAGAAATCTGCAGTGACATTTAAACAGCATTCAACATAAAAACCTGAAGACTGCATAGCATAGTCTTAAAATTTTATATATATCCCTCACATACATAGGACTGTAATGAGTCCTATGTCACATGGATGAGATGAAACAATGGTTTTTTGTTTGTTTGTTTTTTTTTACTTTCTTGTTTTGGGTTTTTTTTCCACTTTTTTTGTTGTTTTTAGAAGGTTTATTAAATTGATGTGACTAAGTGAGTTTACCTTGGTTTTGTAAAACTGCATTGGAGGTGATGCTCTCCCACTGATTATATCTTAATGTTTATACGACTGCTCTAGTGTGATCATAGAAGGAAGAGTCTATAATAGAGAAGCAGAATTATCCCACAGTTAAGCTGGAAGCTAGCTTCTATTATAAAGCTGTATTTTCACCTCTGGCCTGGAAAATTAGTTTAGCTAGAAAACAACCAGAATTAATTTGAAAATAAGGGGTTGCTCTACATGATGGATTATCTTTACATTGGCTGCAGCTAATTAAAAGTGTTCCCTTGCTTGAATTCTGGCTCTATTCTAGTACTGCCTTTCTAACTTTGAGCTCAAAAATATCTTGTGATTTGTTACCTCGGAACATTCGGTGTTGCTAAGTCAAATGTATTGGGATTTGTGACTGAGACAGGTTATGATTCAGGACCGTTCTGCTGATTTTATAGTTCTTATTGTAAACAGCCCATGAGACGCTGTCACCAACAAAGACCCTAGAGCTATTAATGTGTTTCTATGGAATGCTATTTATTTAT